CGCTTGTCGGGGTCTGACTCGCTCCCGCCCGGCTCCGCGCTGTCAGCGCTGTCAGCGGGCAGTAGGCGCGCAGGTGGAGATGGGGTTATCTTTGCAGAGGCCGGAGGGCAATGCCGGGTCGCGAAGTGGGAGATCGCGGAGAAGAGCACGTTACAAGCGCGACCTTAGTGATTCAGGACCTTATGCAGCCGGCGGCCAAATCCCCTCTTCCAGTTGGAGCTAGAATCCTCCTCAGGCCCCAGACTCTTCCACTGGCCGTAAACCCGGTTTAACCCGGTTCTTCCTCCGATCCCAGACCCCTCTGATCCCAGACCCCTTCTTGGATTCCAAGATCCTTTTCCTCCGATCTCGGACTCCTCCGACCCCAGATTCCTCTTTTGACCTGACTCCCTGCCCCTGGCCCCCTCCAACACCTGCTTCATCCTCAGACTGCACCCCTCCTTTGGACGTCCCTTCTCAGACGTCAGATCCCTCACTGCCCCCCCCCCCACTTCTCAGACTCCTCTTTCAAGCCCAACCCCTTCTGGTACCCCTGACCTAAACCCAGTGTGTCTTAGGATCCCTACGAGCAAACTCCCAGATTCCACTCTAGAGAGCATGGTTTAGGACTCTGGGATGGGGGTCTCTGGAACCTGAATAGTTACCATCATTTTAAGAGTTTTTGATGTGGTCTGGAAAGGACGCTTTAAGAAAGGAACAATGGGCATGACGGTGTGGCAGGAGTGGGGTGGGGTGGGGTGGGGGAGTGGGGAGTGGGTCTTTGTGGTCTAGGTGTCTGTGTTCGATTTCCTGTGCCACCACTTACACACTGTGTGATCTTGGGTCAGACACTTCATCTTCTTTGGTGTCCGTTTCCTCATCTGACAACTGGAGAGATTAACAGTATCCATCTCAGGGGGTTGTTGTGAGGATTAAGCAACAGGTAGAAAGCTTTTAGTGTAGTTCTTGGCCCTACTTAATAAATGTCATTATTATCATTATTTTCATGTCTTTAACCTTGTGGATTCTTATCTCATCCAACCTTACCCATCCTCTTCCCACGCTTAGGAATTCCAACTACAGTATAGCTTGCACTATTTTCCCATTTCCAAGGATGAGGGGTTCGCTCTTTATTAGGCTTCTTGTCCAAACTCTCTTCATACAGTTCACAGGGAGGGAGAGGGAAGGGGCTGGTCAAGCCCCTGGGCATACATCCCCTCTTTCACTCCAGGACAGTTTGAAAATCTACAAGGGGGGTAGGGGTGGGTGGAGTGGGTGGGGTGGGGAATCTATTATGGGCCCAGAACATGCATTGGTAACTGTCGACAGGAGGGGGCAGTATGGGTTGGGAACAGCTCTAGGACTTGGGAGAAGGTTTGGGGAGAGGGGAGAGGAAGAGGGCTGCCCAAAGCTGTGACTGTCTATACCCTATACCTGGGACTGTGTGCCCATTGCTTGTGCCTTTCTCCCCCCAGAGAGGCTAGTATCTTCTCAGTGAAGTCCATAGGGCTTATTATGCTTCAGTGAAGTATTATTCCCCCCAGTAGGGCATGTCTTAACTAAATGAGGTCCGTGTCCCGTCATTGATGTCCATTCCCTCAGTGGGGTGTGAGTCCCCCTAGTGGGGTCAACATATTTTTAGTAAAATCTATATCTTTGGTATCTCCTAGAGCAGTGATGGCAAACCTATGACACGGGTGTCAGAGGTGACACGCGAACTCATTTTTTTTGGTTGATTTTTCTTTGTTAAATGGCATTTAAATATATAAAATAAATATCAAAAATATAAGTCTTTGTTTTACTATGGTTTCAACTGTCAAAAAATTTCTATATGTGACACGGCACCAGAGTTAAGTTAGGGTTTTTCAAAATGCTGACACGCCGAGCTCAAAAGGTTCGCCATCACTGTCCTAGAGGGAAACCCATGTCCCCCCAGTAGGGTCTGTGACCTTCAACACCATTCAAGTCCTATTAGCAGGGTCCATAGCCCTTCAGTGAGATCTGAGACCCCTCAGCAAGATCTGTGCTCCCTTAGTGGAGTCCACGTACCTTCAGTGAAGTGTGTGCCTGTTGACTGTAATGTCTCTTCGATAAAGCATCTGTCTTCTCTGTGGGGTCCATGCGATCTGAGACCCTCCCCTCAGGATTGGGTAGGCTCTGGACCATAGGTTTGAACATGGAAGTATTATTTTCAGTTTAAGGTGTGCTGGGCTTGTGGTTAGCTGGGCAAAGAACAAGGGAACAGGTGGGAAAGGGGGATGGGCCTGATGTGGTCACAAACCCTGTGTAGGCTTCAGGAGATGGGGGTTGTCAGCTCTGGGCCTCAAAATCACTCTTGGAGTTAAATATTTAAGGTTCCTCCTTGCCTTGACAGACATTTTGTGAACTGACAGGTAGTGTGGGCTTTTCTTGGTGGTGAGTGCAGGTGGGAGATGGAGGGTCCTGCCTGGCCCCTCCTTTCTGGAGTGGAACAGCTAGAGGTCAGCTAGAGGTAATTGAGCCCAGGTGCGGCAGGTGGGCGTGGTCTCTTGGTCAAGTAAAGAGTCTGGGAAGGGAAGAAGGATATGAGTAATTTCTCCTATTTGCATAGCCTTTGGTACAGTATTTCACAAGCCTTAGCTTGTGAGGATATAAAAAGACTTGGAGTCAAGAAACTTAGGTTTGGCCCTAACTTGGTCGTTGTTTTGCTCTGGGACCTTGCACACATTCCTTTCCCTGAATATACCATTTGTGCAATGAGGAGGTAGGTATATTAGCAAAGACCTGGACACACCTCCTAATCTTCAATGAATCTTGTACTTTAGAGCTGGATGGGAATTTGTGGAGCCAGGGAGAGTGAAGATATAATCTCGGTGTGGGGCGGGGAGAGAGAAAATCTGAGCTAGCACAAACGTTAACAGAGAGGGGCCATGCCCTAGACGTCGTGGGAGGATTTTTTTTTTTTTCCTGAGGATGGAGGGGAAGAGTTTACTCCGAATGGAGGGATAGTGCTTTGAGGGAAAGTGATCCCAGAAGACACCCAGAAAAAAACCCTACTCCACCTGGCTTTTCAACTCTGTGGGTGACAGGCTTGTGCCCCCCCCCCCCCCCCCCCCCCCACTTCTCAGACTCCTCTTTCAAGCCCAACCCCTTCTGGTACCCCTGACCTAAACCCAGTGTGTCTTAGGATCCCTACGAGCAAACTCCCAGATTCCACTCTAGAGAGCATGGTTTAGGACTCTGGGATGGGGGTCTCTGGAACCTGAATAGTTACCATCATTTTAAGAGTTTTTGATGTGGTCTGGAAAGGACGCTTTAAGAAAGGAACAATGGGCATGACGGTGTGGCAGGAGTGGGGTGGGGTGGGGTGGGGGAGTGGGGAGTGGGTCTTTGTGGTCTAGGTGTCTGTGTTCGATTTCCTGTGCCACCACTTACACACTGTGTGATCTTGGGTCAGACACTTCATCTTCTTTGGTGTCCGTTTCCTCATCTGACAACTGGAGAGATTAACAGTATCCATCTCAGGGGGTTGTTGTGAGGATTAAGCAACAGGTAGAAAGCTTTTAGTGTAGTTCTTGGCCCTACTTAATAAATGTCATTATTATCATTATTTTCATGTCTTTAACCTTGTGGATTCTTATCTCATCCAACCTTACCCATCCTCTTCCCACGCTTAGGAATTCCAACTACAGTATAGCTTGCACTATTTTCCCATTTCCAAGGATGAGGGGTTCGCTCTTTATTAGGCTTCTTGTCCAAACTCTCTTCATACAGTTCACAGGGAGGGAGAGGGAAGGGGCTGGTCAAGCCCCTGGGCATACATCCCCTCTTTCACTCCAGGACAGTTTGAAAATCTACAAGGGGGGTAGGGGTGGGTGGAGTGGGTGGGGTGGGGAATCTATTATGGGCCCAGAACATGCATTGGTAACTGTCGACAGGAGGGGGCAGTATGGGTTGGGAACAGCTCTAGGACTTGGGAGAAGGTTTGGGGAGAGGGGAGAGGAAGAGGGCTGCCCAAAGCTGTGACTGTCTATACCCTATACCTGGGACTGTGTGCCCATTGCTTGTGCCTTTCTCCCCCCAGAGAGGCTAGTATCTTCTCAGTGAAGTCCATAGGGCTTATTATGCTTCAGTGAAGTATTATTCCCCCCAGTAGGGCATGTCTTAACTAAATGAGGTCCGTGTCCCGTCATTGATGTCCATTCCCTCAGTGGGGTGTGAGTCCCCCTAGTGGGGTCAACATATTTTTAGTAAAATCTATATCTTTGGTATCTCCTAGAGCAGTGATGGCAAACCTATGACACGGGTGTCAGAGGTGACACGTGAACTCATTTTTTTTGGTTGATTTTTCTTTGTTAAATGGCATTTAAATATATAAAATAAATATCAAAAATATAAGTCTTTGTTTTACTATGGTTTCAACTGTCAAAAAATTTCTATATGTGACACGGCACCAGAGTTAAGTTAGGGTTTTTCAAAATGC